TTCGTCTTGTGCACTTTTGTGTAGAGGACTATTGTCCGGAGCACATTCGTCTGGAGCACTTTGACTGGAGCACCTTGTCTAGACCAATTCGTCTAGTGCACGTTTGTCTGGAGCACTTCGACTGGAGTACTTTCGTTTGGAGCACTTCTTCAAGAGCACTTTCATTTGGAGCACTTTGTCTCGTGCTTTTTCATCTGGAGCACCTTCGTCTGGTGCACTTCATCTTGTGCACTTCGTCTGGAGCACCTTCGTCTGGTGCACTTCATCTTGTGCACTTTGTCTGGAGCACTTCTTCTGGCGCACATTTGTCGACAGCACTTTCTTGTAGAGCACTGCGTCTGGAGCACTTTATTTGGAGCACTTGGTCTGGAGCACTTGTTCTCGAGCACTTGGTCTCGAGCTTTTGTTCTCGAGCACTTTATTTGGAGCACTTCGACTGGAGCACTTTGTCCAGTGCACGTTCATGTGGAGCACTTCGCTTGGAGCACTTTTGTCTAGAGCACTTTCGTCTGGAGCACTTCGTCTGTTCCTCTTTGGTCTGGAGCACGTTCATTTGGAGCACTTCGTCTGGAGCACTTTCATCTAGAGCACTTTTGTTTGGAGCACTTCGTCTGGAGAACTTTCGTCTGGAGCACTTTGCTTGGAGCACTTTCGTCTGGAGCACTTTGTCTAGAGCACATTGTCTGGAGCTTTTCCGTGTAGAGCACCTTCGTCTTGAGCACTTCGTCTGGAGCACATTGTCCTGAGTACTTTTATCTGGTGAACTTCTTCGGGTGCACTTTTGTCTATAGCACTTTTGTCAGGAGCACTTTATCAGGAGCACTTCGTCTAGAGCACTTCGTCCGGAGCACTTCGTCTAGAGCACTTTTGTCTGGAGCACTTTCGTCTGGAGCACTTCGTCGGGAGCACTTGGACTGGAGCAATTCGTGTGGAGCACTTCGTCTGGTGCACTTTTGTCTGGAGCACTATTGTCCAGAGCACATTCGTTTGGAGCACTTCATCTGGAGCATTTGGTCTAGAGCACATGGTCTGGAGCACTTTGTCTAGAGCACTTGGTCTAGAGCACATTGTCAGGAGCACTTAGTCTTGTGCACTTTTGCCTGGAGCACTTCGTCTAGTGCACGTTCATCTGGAGCACATTCTTTCGGGGAACTTTTGCCTGGAGCACTTTGCTTGGAGCACTTTCGTCCAGAGCACTTCGTCTTGAGCACTTTGTCTGGTGATTTTTGCTCTAGAGCACGTTTGTTTGGAGCACTTTGTCTGGACCAGTTTCGTCAGGAGCACTTTGTTTGGTGCTTTTTCGTCTGGAGCACTTCATCTGGAGCACATAGTCTGGAGCACTTTCGTCTTGTGAACTTCGTCAGGTGTACCTTTGTTTGTAGCTCTTTGGCCTCAAGCATTCTGTCTAGAGCACTTCGTCTAGAGCACTTTGTCGGGAGCACTTCGTCAAGAGCACTTTTTCTGTTGCTTTTTCGTATTGAGCACGTTCGTCTGGAGCACTTTGTCTGGAGCACATAGGTTGGAGCATTTTTGTCTCGTGAACTTTGTCTGGTGCACTTCGCGTGGTGCACTTCATTTGGAGTACTTTGTCTAAAGCACTTCATCTGGTGCACTTTGTCTGGTGCGCATTTGTCTGGAGAGCTTTCGTCTGGAGCACTTTGTCTGGAGCACTTTCGTCAGGAGCACTTCGTCTGGAGCACTTCGTCTAGAGCACTTCGTCTAGAGCACTTCGTTTGGAGCACTTCGTCTTGAGCACTTTATCTGGAGCACATCGTCTGGAGCACTTTGTCTGGAGCACTTCGTCTGGAGCACTTCGCTTGGTGCACTTTGTCCGGAGCACATTCGTCTGGAGCACTTCATCTAGAGTACTTCTTCTGGAGCACTTTAGTCTGCAGCATTTCATCAAGAGCACCTTCGTGTGGAGCACTTCGTCTATAGCACTTCGTCCGGAGCACTTCGTCTAGAGCACTTCGTTTGGAGCACTTTGTTCAGAGCACTTTGTTTGGTGCACTTCGTTTGGTGCATGTCGTCTTGTGCACTTTCGTCTAAATCACTTTCGTCTAGTGCACATCGTCTACTACACTTCGTCTAGAGCACTTCATCTGGAACACTTCGTCTGGAGCACTTTGTCTGGTGTACATTTATCTGGTGCACTTTTGTTTCGAGAAATTTCTTCTGGTGCATCTTCATCTAGAGCACTTTCGTCTGGAGCACTTTGTCTGGAGCACTTCGTTTGGAGCACTTCATCTTGTGCACTTTTGTCTGGAGCACTTTTGTCTGGAGCACTTTCGTCTGGTGCACTTTCGTCTGGAGCATTGGGATTGTTCGAAGACTTGCTTGCGAGGAAACAGCAGCTATGAAATCTGTTGCCTTGCAGGAACCTGCAGCCAAGAACAGCGGGAGAAACAAGCTTCAGAAAATTCCTCCAACACACACCCAGAGCGTGTTCAGTTGAATTCTAGAGAACCGACTTCGGTTTCGGTTTCGGACTTGGTTTCGGTTACCGAAATCCGAATTCCGCGGTTGCCAGAATTTTGCGGTTTGCAGAATTCCGCGTGTTATGAATTATAACTCAGAGTATAGCGCAGAATACTATAGGGGAACGTGATTACAGAGTGTGCTATCCAAATGAGACCTAGGGCTTATATAGTGCGAGTTGACCAGGTGGAATGTCGAGGGTTGGACCAGTCAAGGGCTCGACAGTCCGAGGGTGACGCGGTCAAAACGGGTTCATGGCGACTCGGGGTCAGGTTGGGGCCGAAAAGGTCGTTGGGGGCGGGTTTGGCGCGATAACCCAGGGCCGAGGCTACGGATCCGCACTGTTCGCGGTACTCGCTGTGGCGAGTCCCAGTAAGGAATCGGAAATCCTTACACTCTCCCACCTTCTAAAGGAAAGCCCTCCCTTTATCGATGTCGAACCTTTTATCTAATTTAATCCCCGAAGTGACTGTAAGTCTTTAGCCCCGTGACGAGCGTAATGATTACGCGGGCCGGACGAGGTCTTGACGTCGAAGTGAAATCGATGGTCAGAAAGCGTCGAAACGATCGCTTTTAATCACCGCCGTCGAAGATGCTCGAATTCTTCTGGTGACCAAACGGGCAAGGGTAAATACTCCAGCGGAAAGACAATGAACAGTGAAACCGTCGAGTGGTCGATTGATGATGGTGCCTGGCAGTCGAATTTCTTGAAATGATGATGGGCGAATATCGTGATGGTCGATGAATATGAACGACCCGTTCGTCAAACGCGAGGTCGTTTGAGTCACATGCGAGAGCACGCGTTCGTGTCCCACGAAAGTCAGCAAACTCCATCAACGAAGTGACGAAATCAGGTGCAGAAGCATAACGACGATGAATGTCGGTCGCAAATGGTTAATAGAACACGCTGGAAAGTCGTCGGAAAATTGCAGCACAGCTGCCCTTCTCCCCCCTTCAAAAGAAAACAACTCCCAAGTTCCCAGGTAAAAGTGCGCTTGGGAGTGGTTTGCGAGTGGTTTACCACCCTACAAGAGTGGCGTGCGAATAGTTTGCCACCCCCCGAGAGTCGCGTGCGAATGGTTTGCCACCCTGCAGAGTGGCTTGGGAGTGGTTTGCGAGTGGTTTGCCACCCCCCGAGGGTGGCGTGCGAGTGGTTTTGCACCCCCCTGATTGGCGTGCGAGTGGTTTGCCACCCCCGAGAGTGGCATGCGAGTGGTTTGCCACCCCCTGAGAGTGGCGTGCGAGTGGTTTGCCACCTTCCCAGATTGGCGTGGGAGCGGTTTGCCACCCTCCAAAAGTGGCGTGCGAATAGTTTGCCACCTCCCCATTGTGGCGTGCGAATGGTTTGCCACCCCTCAGAAAGGCTTGGGAGTGGTTTGCCACCCCCACGAGTGGCGTGCGACTCCTTTGCCACCTACCGAGAGTGGCGTGCGAGTGGTTTGCCATCCCCCCAAGTGGCATTCGAGTGGTTTGCCACCCTCTAAGATTGGCGTCCGAGTGGTTTGCCACCCTCCAAGAGTGGTGTGCGAATAGTTTGCCACCCCGCAGTGTGACGTGCGAGTGGTTTGCCATCCCGCAGTGTGACGTGCGAGTGGTTTGCCACCCTCCAAGAGTTGCATGCGAGAGGTTTGCCACCCCCAAAAGTGGCGTGCGAGAGGTTTGCCACCACCCAAGGTTGGCGTGCAAGTTGTTTACCACCCTCCAAGAGTGGCGTGCGAGTGTTTTGCCACCCCGTAATATGATGTGCGAGTTGTTTGCCACCCCCCAAGGTTGGCGTGCAAGTTGTTTACCACCCTCCAAGAGTGGCGTGCGAGTGTTTTGCCACCCCGCAGTATGATGTGCGAGTTGTTAGGGAGTGGTTTGCCACACTGCGAGACTGGCGTGCGAATGGTTTGCCACCCCTCAGAGAGGCTTGGGAGTGGTTTGCCACCCCCACGAGTGGCGTGGGACAGGTTTGCCAACCACTGAAAGTGGCGTGCGACTGGTTTGCCACCGACTGAAAGTGGCGTGCCAGTGGTTTGCCACCCCCCCGAGTGGCGTGCGAGTAGTTTGCCACCCTCCAAGGTTGGCGTGCAAGTTGTTTACCACCCTCCAAGAGTGGCGTGCGAGTGTTTTGCCACCCCGCAGTATGATGTGCGAGTTGTTTGCCACCCCGCAGTGTGACGTGCAAGTGGTTTGCCACCCCGCAGTGTGACGTGCGAGTGGTTTTCCACCCCCCGAGAGTGGCATGCGAATGGTTTGCCACCCCTCAGAGTGGCTTAAGAGTGGTTTGGCACCCCCTCGAGTGGCGTGCGAGTAATTTGCCACCCCCCAAGTGGTGTGCGAGTGGTTTGCCACCCCCCCGAGTGGCGTGCGAGAGGGTTGCCACCCCCAAGAGTGTCTTGCGAGTGGTTTGCCACGCCCCGAGAGTGGCATGCGAGTAGTTTGCCGCCCCCTAACAGTGGGGTGCGCGTGGTTGGTGCTGCTGTGTTGGTGGAGGCCCAACAGCTTGGGAGAGCAAGAAACAAGTGGACCAAGCATTGAGCTCGGTGGAGTCCGAGTACATGGCACTCTTCCGTGCCATAAGAGAGGTTGTGTGGCAGCGGCGTTTGCTAGCTGAATTGGGGGAGGAGCAGCAAGGACCTACCCCACTCTACTGTGATAGCCAGGGTGCTATTGCATTGGCTAAGAACCCCGTTCTTCATGGCCTTACCAAGCACATGAAGGTGAAGTGGCATTGGGTGAGGAGCATGGTAACCGCGGGTGAAGTGGAGTTGCACTACGTGAAGACGACGGCGCAGCCTGCTGATATGATGACCAAGAGGCTGGTTGAGCAGCAGCATTGGAAGTGTTGCAAGCTTGATGGGATGGCTCTGAACTAAGGGGAGCAGATTCTAAGGCCAACAATCCAAGGGGGAGTTTGTTGGTGCAACCTTATGGCTTGCACTCGGCTTGTCGTCCTTGTTTGTGTGTGTGCATGCATGGCATGGAATGAATTGTGAGTCTATGTCATTGCTATCCAGTGCTTTTGTGTGTGTTTGAATGGTGTATCACAATGTGGTTTGTGTCGGTCAAGACATTAGCGAGTTTTTACAACTCGCATGTCAAGTCGTCGTTTGTGTGTCGCATGTGTTTTTTCTATTTTGTCGAGTGTGAAGTGTCCATCGTGTCGCAGGTGTGTGCAGCAAGCCCCCATCAACTCAAGAAGAATTTATCTTGCAGATCCAAGAACAAGAGCTCAAGATTTCAAGCCCAAGGGACGCGGATAAATATTAAATAGTGAAAATAGTAACGTTACTTCGTGTAGTGTTACATTTCACTTGGTGTAGCCCCTTGGAGGGTTGGTTTCGAGACTCTTCATGGTTGGGGACTCTGTGGTGGTGTACCACCAACCTGGACCTCGGCTCTTGGGGTATGAAGAGGCTGGGAACCACATCCCTCTCGAACTCTTCTTGCTAAGTTTTGTACTTCCAAGACTATAGTGGCTCCTATACCTCCTGCCAGTCAAACCGCCATAGCGTCGTCAAAGCTTCATGGAAATTCATGATTCAACTTGCTGCTGATAGACGACAGCAACGCGCTCCAGATCCAACTTACAGATTATAGTTTGACTCAGCCAGCAGATCGTTATCAATATTTGAAGCCGTCTGACGGAAATCCGACTGTGCTCTCTATCTCTCATTATAGGCACATCTGAGCCTATTGTGACTATAACATGTCCTGCCGGGATCCCGCTCACACTTACTGCCCTCTCCCCCTCCCTTGCTTCATGCCACTCCCCCTCCTCTGTCCTCATGCCTCTCCGCCTCCCCTGCCCTCATGCATCTCCCTCTCCACTGCCCTCATGCCTATCTGCCTCCCCTCTCCTCATGCCTCTTTCCCTCCCCATCTCCTCCAGCTGTCCCTGCCTCTCACGCCCTCACGCCTCTCCCACTCCTGCTCTCACTCCTACCCCCCTACCCTCTCTGCACTCCATCTTTCCCCACTCTCCTGCACTCATGCCACTCCCCCTCCCCTACCCTAACACCCTCTCCCCCTCCCATGCCCCCCACGCCTCTTCCTCCCCCGCCCTCACGCCTCTTCCCCTCCCCATCTCCTCCAGGCTGCACTCTCCCTTTCCCCACTCTCCTACTCGTACCCCTCTTTCCCTTCCCTTCTCTCACCTCTCGCTCCCTCCACGGCTCTTGCGCCTTCCCACATCCCCCCTTATCACGCACCTCATACCTCAATGCTCTCCCATCTCTCCCCCTCCCCTACTCTTACGCCTCTCCCCCTCCCCTGCACTCACGCCTGCTCTCATGCCTCACTCTCTCCCTGCTCTCATGCCTCACTCCCTCCCTGCTCTCGTGCCTCACTCCCTCCTTGCACTCATGCCTCACTCCCTCCCTGCTCTCACGCCTTCCCCCCTCCACTGCTCTTGTGCCCCTCTCCCTCGCTCCTCGCATCTCCCCCTAGCTACTATCTGTTGTCTTCCCCATCCCTGCGGCCTCGCTTTCTTCCCTGCTGCTGCGCCTTGACCCTTGATCTGTTTTCATTCAATGAGAAGGCAGGGGATTGCGGCGCGCGAAAAAGCGGGTAACACGTTACAACGTGGGAAAGAGGGAAGCGACCCGCAAGAGAAATCAGGAAGCGGTCCGCGAGGTGAAGCGAGCGAAGCAAAGCGAAGGGAAGCGAAGCTAAGCGAAGCGAAGCTAAGAGAAGCAAAGCGAAGTAAAGCGAAGCTAAGCAAAGCAAAGTGAAGCTAAGCGAAGCAAAGAGAAGCAAAGAGAAGGGAAGCAAAGAGAAGCAAAGCAAAGCTACGCGCAGCTATGCGAAGCGAAGCGAAGCTAAGCGAAGCTAAGTGAAGCTAAAGCAAAGTTAAGCGAAGCGAAGTGAAGCTAAGAGAAGCGAAGCGAAGTGAAGCTAAGAGAAGCGAAGCTAAGCGAAGCGAAGCGAAGCTAAGCGAAGCAAAGCAAAGTTAAGCAAAGCTAAGCGAAGCGAAGCTTAGCGAATCGAAGCGAAGCTAAGCGAAGCTAAGCGAAGAGAAGCGAAGCGAAGCTAAGCGAAGCGAAGCGGAGCTAAGCGAAGCTAAGAGAAGGGAAGCGAAGCTAAGCGAAGCAAGGCAAAGCTAAGCGAAGCTAAGGGAAGCGAAGAGAAGAGAAGGAAAGAGAAGCGAAGCAAAGCTAAGCGAAGCTAAGCGAAGTGTAGCGAAGCTAAGGGAAGCGAAGCAAAGCGAATCTAAGCGAAGCGAAGCGAAGCTAGGCGAAGCTAGGCGAAGCGAAGCAAAGAGAAGCAAAGAGAAGCGAAGCGAAGAGAAGCGAAGCTAAGAGAAGCAAAGCAAAGCTAAGCGCAGCTATGCGAAGCGAAGCGAAGCTAAGCAAAGCTAAGGGAAGCAAACCGAAGCTAAGGGAAGCGAAGCGAAGCTAAGCGAAGCTAAGCGAAGCGAAGAGAAGCGAAGCGAAGCGAAGCAAAGCTAAGTGAAGCAAAGCGAAGCGAATCGAAGCGAAGAGAAGCATAGTGAAGCGAAGCGAAGAGAAGCGAAGCTAAGAGAAGCACAGCGAAGCTAAGCGAAGCAAATCTAAGCTAAGCGAAGTGAAGCTAAGTGAAGCGAAGCAAATCGAATCTAAGCTAAGCGAAGCGAATCCAAGCGAACCTAAGCAAAGCGAAGCTAAGCGAAGCAAAGCGAAGCTAAGCAAAGTGAAGCGAAGCTAAGCAAAGCTAAGCGAAGCGAAGCGAAGAGAAGCATAGATAAGCGAAGCGAAAAGAAGCGAAGCTAAGAAAAGCAAAGCAAAGCTAAGCGCAGGTATGCGAAGCGAAGCGAAGCTAAGCAAAGCTTAGCAAAGCGAAGCGAAGCTAAGGGAAGCAAAGCGAAGCTAAGCGAAGCGAAGCCAAGCGAAGCTAGGCGAAGCGAAGCGAAGCCAAGCGAAGCTAGGCGAAGCGAAGCGAAGCCAAGCAAAGCTAGGCGAAGCGAAGCAAAGCCAAGCGAAGCTAGGCGAAGCGAAGTGAAGCTAGGCGAAGCTAAGCGAAGCAAAGCGAAGCTAACCAAAGCTAAGCGAAGCTAAGCAAATCTAAGCAAAGCTAAGCGAAACTAAGAGAAGCGAAGCGAAGCTAAGCGAAGTGAAGCGAAGCAAAGTGAAACGAAGCAAAGTTTAGCTAAGCTTAGCGAAGAGAAGCGAAGTGAAGCCAAGCGAAGCTAAAAGAAGCGAAGCGAAGCGAAACGAAGCTAAGCGATGCCAAGCAAAGTGAAGCTAAGCGAAGCAAAGCGAAGTTAAGCGAAGCTAAGCGATGCTAAGCAAAGGGAAGCGAAGAGAAGCGAAGCAAAGCCAAGCGAAGCTAAGCGAAGCTAAGAGAAGCAAAGCCAAGCGAAGGTAAACGAAGCTAAGCGAAGCGAAGCGAAGCTAAGCGAAGCTAAGCAAAGCGAAGCTAAGCGATGCTAAGCGAAGCGAAGCGAAGAGAAGCGAAGCGAGGCAAACCGAAGCTAAGCGAAGCGTAGCTAAGCGAAGCTAAGAGAAGCGAAGCGAAGCGAAGCAAAGCGAAGGGAAGCGAAGCTAAGCGAAGCGAAGCAAAGAGAAGCATAGAGAAGCGAAGCGAAAAGAAGCGAAGCTAAGAAAAGCAAAGCAAAGCTAAGCACAGGTATGCGAAGCGAAGCGAAGCTAAGCGAAGTGAAGCGAAGCTAAGGGAAGCGAACCGAAGCTAAGGGAAGCGAAGCGAAGCGAAGCGAAGCTAAGCGAAGCTAGGCGACGCGAAGTGAAGCTAGGCGAAGCTAAGCGAAGCAAAGCAAAGCTAAGCGAAGCTAGGCTAAGCTAAGCGAAGCGAAGCGAAGCTAAGCGAATCAAAGCGAAGATAAGCGAAGCGAAGCTAAGCGAAACTAAGCGAAGCTAAGCGATGCAAAGTGAAACAAAGCAAAGCTTTGCTAAGCTTAGCTAAGCTTAGCGAAGCGAAGCAAAGCTAAGGGAAGCAAACCGAAGCTAAGGGAAGTGAAGCGAAGCTAAGCGAAGCTAGGCGAAGCGAAGTGAAGCTAGGCGAAGCTAAGCGAAGCTAAGCGAAGCGAAGCGAAGCTAAGCGAATCTAAGCGAAGCAAAGTGAAACGAAGCAAAGCTTAGCAAGGCGAAGCGAAGTAAAGCTAAGCGAAGCTAGGCGAAGCTAAGCAAAGGGAAGCGAAGCTAAGAGAAGCTAAGCGAAGCTAAGCGAGGCAAAGCGAAGCTAAGCGAAGCAAAGCGAGGCTAAGCAAAGCGAACAGGAAGCTAAGCGAAGCGAAGCAAAGCTAATCGAAGCGAAGCTAATCGAAGCGAAGGTGAAGCTCTGCGAAGCTAAGCGAAGCGAAGCGAAGCTAAGCGAAGCGAAGTGAAGAGAAGCTAAGCGAAGCGAACACGAAGCTAAGCGAAGCTAATCGAAGCGAAGCCAAGCGAAGCTAAGCGAAGCGAACACAAAGCTAAACGAAACTAAAAGAAGCGAAGAGAAGCGAAGCGAAGCTAAGCAAAGCGAACCGAAGCTAAGCAAAGCTAAGAGAAGCGAAGCGAAGCTAAGCGAAGTGAAGTGAAGCTAAGCGAAGCTAAGGGAATCGAAGTGAAGCTAAGCAAAGTTATGCGAAGCGAAGCGAAGCTAAGCGAAGCTAAGCGAAGCTAAGCGAGTCTAAGCAAAGCGAACAGGAAGCTAAGCGAAGCGAAGCGAAGCTAATCGAAGCAAAGCTTATCGAAGCAAAGATGAAGCTAAGCGAAGCGAAGCGAAGCTAAGCGATGCAAAGCGAAGCGAAGCGAAGCTAAGCAAAGCGAAGTGAAGAGAAGCTAAGCGAAGCGAACACGAAGCTAAGTGAAGCTAATCAAAGCGAAGCGAAGCGAAGCGAAGCGAAGCTAAGCGAAGCGAACACAAAGCTAAGCGAAACTAAAAGAAGCGAAGAGAAGCGAAGCGAAGCTAAGCAAAGCGAACTGAAGCTATGCGAAGCCAAGAGAAGCGAAGCGAAGCGAAGCGAAGCTAAGCGAAGTGAAGTGAAGCTAAGCGAAGTTATGTGATTCGAAGCGAAGCTAAGCAAAGCTAAGCGAAGCTAAGAGAAGCAAAGCAAAGCAAAGCTAAGCTAAGCGAAGCTAAGCGA